CTGAAGCATTGACGTTTTGCCAGGTCAGAATATAAGACGTTTTGACGACCGAAGCATATAATGCCGGCAAAATTGATGTCTTAATCAAATGTTAGGCATTACAATAAGAAAATAACGTAAAAATTAGCACCATTTAGACCAGAAGTGCATTTAAACTTTTTTTAAATCGTTGACCCGAGGTAAAATCTGAAGGTAGGTAGGTACGTCAGCGGAAGAGCTAAGTAGCTATTGCGTGACATTATCTTCGCCCACTATTATTTCCAACCAAAAGACAATTGATCAAAATTATATTGTTGGAAAACTAGAAATACACATGAGCGCATCACAACTATTTCCATAACCATCGTTGAGCTGCGCTGTCAGCCGCATGATGGTCTCCCGGCGCACCCACCCTCTCCGTTATAGGGCGATCGGCGCGCTCTGCGCCACATATGCCGCCGCGCGGAGCTCCGCCTCTCCTGCCTTTGTGGGCCGAGCCTCCCATTTCCGTCTCCCATTTCCGCTATATTCTCTGTCCACATCATTTCGCATAGACATCGCTGGCACCGCGCCAAAATTTATTACCAACCTATTACTTTACTAATATGGGAGGTGCGGGCAAAATTAGGGCTTTGGGCTGCGCTGGACTCGCCGCGGTCATGTCGTGTGTTCTGTGTTTTTCTGGCGATATCGCGCCGCATACTAATGCAGCGTGTGTAAGGGAGCGGAAAATGTCTGTCTGGCCGAAACTTCCTGCACTGAGCAGAATACGTCAGCGAGAGGCGCGCTGCGCTCCCCGGCCAGGGACTCGTTCCTGGGGAGAAATATGTATGCTAGTGCAAAGTGCTCATTCTTAAATATTTTAGGCATGGATGCTTGATAGTTTTTGATAATATGTCGCATTATTCGTTGCATAATTCATAACAGTTGCTATAATAAGCGTAATTAATATGACCTCCACCTGAACGTGACTTTATTTGACTAAAAAATTTCACAAGTCTCGCATTTCATTTTACGAGTAAAATGACCAATTAGTAGCAGGTCACATTATGCAATTTCACAGTTGCCCACGATGTTTGGTGACCTGACCTGACTTTAACCTTTGTTTGTGTATGGCAGCTCGCGCCTCAAAAACGACTTTTTTGTCTGCATATCGCACAGGCATGTGGTGGTTAAGTTACGGTCAACAGCCCATCGCTTTCTCAGTTTGGAAGCTAATAACGTTGAAACCTAGAATGTTGGCCTTTGTGCTGCAAGCTGTCTTCGAGTGGGTCAACTAAAGTCCATGGTGATCGTAAAACTGCTTTGCTAAAAGCTATATTATTGTTTTTACGTTTGTCGGCGACAATTTGCTCAAAAGTTGGACTGCGAAATACATGTCAAGAAATCTGTTATACCTAGTAGTTCATGGATGAGAACCGCATCTCATCGATGGTAAAGTAACTTCTTATTACCTTTTTGCCACGTGCTAGTCCGCCAAAAAGAAATCAAATTTAGTGTGGTAGTGACTGTGAGTTTTTTATCTGTTTTCACTACTCGTCGCCGTCTGACCGTCTTTCCCTTCGTCTCTCCCTCTCCACTTCTTCTTCTTCTTCTTCTTCTTCTTCTTCTTCTTCTTCTTCTTCTTCTTCTTCTTCTTCTTCTTCTTCTTCCATTTCTTCTTCTTCCCCCCTCTCTCTCTCTCCCTCTCTCTCTCTCTCCCTCCCTCTCTCTCTCTCTCTCTCTCTCTCTCTCTCTCTCTCTCTCTCTCTCTCTCTCTCTCTCTCTCTCTCTCTCTCTCTCTCTCTCCACCCCTCTCCATCCCGTTGTCAAGCCATGTCGGCCGGGACCTCGAGTGGCGTCTGTATTAGAGCCGAGCGGTCCGGGGACGGCCGCACGCGCCGCCTCAAGAACCCTCCCAGATGCTACTTGATTACCGGCGCCGCGCCCGGGCGGGGGCGGGGGCGGGGAGGACCCACAATACTGACACACTCTGCCAGCCTGGACGAGCTGAATGGGCAGTCCGCGCGGCCGAGTGTCCTGGCTCAACAATGCCACCTAAAAGTATGTAGTCCGGCATTCTGGCGCCGTTTGGTAAGGACTAAAAAGTACTGTTTCTGGTTTGAAGACGCGGATACTCAGGTGGGGTTAAGTGCTAGACGGAAACTTAGGTGTGAGTTGGTTAAGTGTTTTGATACTTTTAATGTACAATGATTATTGTATCTGTCGGTAGAGCAATGAGTCTTTCACGCATCGCAACTAATAGGCCTAATTGCGGCCAGGATCACTGACAAATACCTGGCGATCTAATTCGCCCAGCGCCTATTTCTTTCGCCTCGGTATTTCACTCGGATTTTTAGGTAGTAGAAAACAGGAGAGATAACCTCCAGAACCAAAATATCGTTACTTCCAAGAATTGGTTATAGGTAATGCTAATTGTAACAGCCATATAATCGGGTTGGTAAATACAGTCGATGTATTTTTCCTTGGCCCGTAGAATTCACTAATGCCTACAGTTTGAAGAACCGTCTCTGATTTGCAGCTTTATCATACGCTGACCTGGCAATCGGTACAACATGGCTGCAAATATTTGCCTAAATAAATACATAAGCCGAGAGAACAGGCTCAAATAGGCCCGATTATTCCCTAGCTCTGCACAACTGGACAACAGCCGTATCCGAATTATCGATCAGGGGTGCAGTGGCGCGGCTCGACACGCGTTCCCCCGGCGTGCCTACGTCCGCTAAACGGGCGGTCGATCGTGTCTCTCTCCTCTCCCCATGCTGACCGCCCTGCCAGCACCAGTGGTCGCCCGGGGGAGGGGGAGGGGGCAGATCGGACCAGTGATTGTTTACTCGTCACAACTGCCGTGCCGATCAGCGGGCCGCATTACAGCTGCTCAGCATACAGACACACAGCACGGACAAATATGGGCCGAGGCGTGCCGATGGACGGGCGAATAGATGAACCGACGGATGGACGGGTTAATCGGAGGACGGGTGGGCAGATGGACCGATATATGGACTCCTAAACCAGTTGAAACCACGAGCAATACCTAACGCATCCGGCTCTCATGTCTTCTGCATTTCGTCGAGATTTTACTTCTCATTTAGTTAGCTCCTATGTCACCATGTCACATTCCTGACCGGATTCTTAATATCTGCACCCCGTGGAAGAATTCTAATAAAATGACTTTGACTTACTTTGACTTTGACTTCGAAAACAGCAAGAGAGCGGGTCGGATGGTAATTTGTAGCATACATAACAAAAGCTTCACAAAACTTGTTAAAAATGACGGGTACACGCAAACGGCACAAACAATGGATCTTATGCCTGCACAATACGACGTTTTGATCGAGCTTTGCAATACACTGATAGGTCATATGACCCTCGATAAGGAACAACCATCAGAAATCAAAACTGCCTCACCCAAACAGCCTACTGATCCCCAGAATCATCACGGCACCAGGGCGTCGATTAGCGCTCCTCCGCGACTACCATCAGTTCCACGAATGGCTGCGACATCTCCCTCCCCACCGCCTGGACCGCCACCCAGCCGGCGCGGCGGCGGCCAGGCGCCCCTCTCCCGCCCCGATTATCTGTTAATGCATGGGTAACGGGCGAGTGGTCGGGCCTGAATGAGACGCGGACCCGGCCGAATATCGATGCAGCCATGACGTTTGGCGTAGACGACCCGGGAGGAGGGGGGAGGGGGGGGGGGCAGTAAGGAGGGATGGTTCGGCGGGCCAGGATTGCGCCGAGGACGCCAATTCGGGAAATATCACACGAATTAGGTGTAGGTAGTCCTGTTCCGACAGGGAAGATATGGCGGCATTTTTTTCAGCATCTCGTATTAGCAGCTGAACGAACTGTAGCAACAGGAAGGTTAGGATTGCTGAAATGTGATGCTGCACCGCAATACATTATACATCAAACGCTAGTTTTTACGCGCTGCATTGTGGTTCTTTGACAAGAGATATCCAGATGAAACTGAAAAAGTCTACGGAAAAACAGTCAGTGGCTGCCAGCGAATATCTCGGTTATCCCGGTTGCTTTGGTAATAGACGAAACATGAGATTCGGCACTGCTTTTTCCGAGCGTGGTTGTCGTTTCATGTGTGAATTGTGACCTGTCATCATGTGAGAAGTGAGCGGGTTGCTTGTCCCGTTTAACCCGCCTTCTCACCAATCTGTTCTTACGCGGCCTCTACTGCTCCCCTCTCCCCCACCCTTTTCACCACTCATCGCACCGCATCTCTGCGTCCGCGGCGCCTGTTTGTCGCGCTCTCTGCGGAGGCGTTCGGCCCAGTCTGTCCGCTAATGGCCTGTTCATTAGGACTGTGCCGCCGGCGCTAATGTCGCCAATCGCCACCACCGACAGCCGGGCGCTCATCACTGCTGGCCCGAGGAGTCGCCACCGGCACGCGCCGAGCGACGCCGGCTCGTCAGCGGGTCGACGCCGGAGGATAGTGCGTGCCGTGGACACGGAGACGGACAGACGGGGCAGTCAGAGACAAAGAGACAGATAAGACGGTGTACGGGCCGCCGCCAAAAAGTGCGTGCCGTGGACACGGAGACACTGACGGTGGATGGGGTGGTAAGACAGACAGATACTGTGGTCAGAGACGGACGGGCAGATGGACGGACGGGCAGGGCAGATAGACGGACAGGCAGTGGACGGAGAGGCAGATAGACGGAGGAGGGGCGACGCAGGACAGTGCGTGCCGCGAACACGGAGACAGAGACGTGGATGGAGGATTCAGAGAGACCGAGACGGTGGACAGGGCGGTTAGACAGACAAACGGTGGACGGGGCGGTCAGAGACGGATAGACGGACAGAGTGGACAGAACAGTCGTGAATACAGATGCACTTAGAACAGAACGATCACAAACTACGGTCTCCTTTACTACGGTAAAAGAGACAGTTGAGAGCCGCCGCCCAGATAGAGACGGACGAAAAGATTACCGATATATAAAAACGGTGGGTGCAGAGATAACAGGTAGGTGGTGAGCGAAATAGTCATCAAGAGACACACAAAGACGTTAGCGAATCGACCCTCAGCTGTTTATTCCGGACGCACACCTTTCCCCATGCCGCCCACAGGCAAAGACAGCAGCCGAGGAGTATTTCACCACGCTATAACACTGCGTTATCGCATACTGCAAGCGCTCAACGCCTGCTGGAAAGCCCAGGTTGAAAGCGGGGCGGACAGTTCGCGACACAGATCGCGTCCACAGCCGCCTAGCACCGCTCACAGTTCGGTAAATGCTGCCGGAGCCAAGTCCTCCAAAACTTTGTGCGAGTCACCCAGTCTCCGTCGTTCGCAGCGTATACAGGAACATGGTTAGTAAAACGTGGCTGCGACGAGCAGATGGTAACTTTCGCACTGGATAAGACCGATCCAAAACACCACCAGGCTCGATTCAACTTAAAGCGAGTGATCAACAAGTCACCTCCAGTTCTGCTGGCTAGACTTGCGCAAGAATACCGACGAGTTAATTCACCTAAACACACATCATTCTTCCATTCAAAAACTCAATCACTCTCACAACCTTTCACACGTTGGATCGTTGGGCGCACAAATGGTTATACCGTCTCCGGGGCCTAACGCAGAGTTCCACAACCATTCGTCCAACAATAATCGTTGCTCCGGTCCAGAGGTAAGTGAGATGGCACCCCTCCCGTATCCCCTTCCTAGTAAATATCGGACGGCCGCTGGCGGTCTCCGTGTAAAGAGCCGTCCACTAGGCCAAACCTGAGGAGCGGACGGCCATCTTCTGACCACGGGCGGCTTCAGATCGGCTCCAGATCCGTTCAGGAGAAGCTCAGGAGCAGCTCAGGGACCAAGTAACAGCCGGATGGCACCTGACCATCAGCAGGTCAATAGCTGAAGAACAGCTGGTCAGTGGCTGAGAGGCAGGGACGCAGCTCTTCTGGTTCCGCGATCAGCTGGTCTTCAGCCGCTCAAACATGAGCACCGGGTCGTTAATTCACTATCAACAGGCGATTCCTACATAAAACCTTTCTGTCTTCTAAACGCCCTGCCCCGGCGCCTGGCTCCAGATCGGCCGTCTTCCAGAGGTTCCGCAATGTTGCAGACTGACCACCGCTCACTCCAGGCCCGGATAGAAAAAGAGCCGTTGCCTCAGCCCAGATCGACTCACAGTCTCCTGCTGAGAGCGAGTGACCGTCTCAGCCGAGAACGGGTGGCCGTCTCAATCGAGAATGGGTGGCTGTCTCTTGCAGCGACCGGGTAGACAGCTCATCCGAGAACGCATGGCCGTCTCAGCCGAGAATGGGTGACCCTCTCTTGCAGAGAACGGATGACCGTCTCAGTCCTCCAGATAACTGGACGGCGTCTCAGCCGAGAACAGGTGCCGTCTTCGTTGTGCGTACGCTCACAGATGGTTGTTGAGGAACGTAAGAAGCGTCAGCTCGTAATGTTCGCTAGACTCTAGCGCACGTAGACTGTGCCGCTCGTTCGGGTACACCTGCGGAAGAAAGGAACACAAACGTTGATGCTGAGTGGTTGCTTGCTTTAAAGCGTGCTAATGAGAAAGACTTGTTTGATAAACCGTCAGTAGAAAACAAGTCCATCGTTTGTCGTGGCAAGAAACTGAGCCACGTAAAAATGCATAGAAGAGATGACGTCGCTTCAGCACTACCGCCCATATTCTAATCATATCTGCAGCTGGTAGGGTTTACCGGCCTATTTACCTGCAGCTGGTAGGGTTTACCACCCTATTTACCTGCAGCTTACCAGCTCCAACCCTCCGTTTACCGGCCTATTTACCTGCAGCTGGTAGGGTTTTCCGGCCTATTTACCTGCAGCTGGTAGGGTTTTCCGGCCCGGATCAGAGCCGAGATGAGCTGCTGTGTGTGGAAAAAGTGCACGTTCTCGTCCATCAGGCCGTGGAAGATGAGCAGTCGGTTCGGCTCGCTCGGAAACTGGTTGGCGTAACTGAGCACCTGTGGACAGAGAGATAGGGACTGGAGTTAGAGGTTGGAGTTATGTAGCAGAGCACTTGTGGACGGATAGACGGGCTTTGAGTCAGGGGTTGGAGTTCTGTAGCTGTGCAGATGAGGACGAGTCGAAAAGGTTAGTGGAGCGCCTAGGGAAAGACAGATAAATATTTGTGTCGCGTTGTGTTTGCTACCCAGGACACAGGAATCGACAGTTCCATATACACTACACAGGGTAGGAGTAGGAAGGACAACACGAAGACTTATCGTAAAGCAGACTTATCGTAATTCTGGTACTTCGCTACCTTATCACGAAGACTTGTTGAGAGTACGGACCAGTCAGAATTATAAGTCAGCGTGAATCTGCGTCAGCAATGAGAACTGAACAGTCTGTTCTAATTTGACCTGCTCTATTCTGAATATCACCGACAAATCCTTATCAAGGTAATAGGAAACTGCAAGCAATAAACCTACCGCCCGGTTACACACAAACAAACAACTAAGACGTCACGTCGGGACGACACATCAAAATTAATCTCAAGAAACGCGTCACATCTGCAGCTCCCATCTCGGTCTTCATTAGCTCAAACGGCCGCCTCATATTTCATTATTGAGCACCAGCGACGCCTATGACGAGGCATAATTTCGCGTCATAAACCGGCCTCAATAGCCGAGCGCCGGTGTCAGCCTGTAGGGCTCTCTGCGCGCGAGGTATCCAGCTGTAAAACGCCGCCCCGGGGGGCCGCCGCGCCCGGCGCGACGAGGCAGCCGCGGCGACACGGGAGACGAGCACAACACAACGGCCCCTCCAATATTGCCGCGGCAGGATTTACGCTACGATAAATACCAGCAGACGAGCCCTGTGATAGCGAGCAGCCAAACGAATATGATATTTGATCCGTTTACACTTTACGGTTTAACAAATACATAAATTGATTTTTTCACATAAATTGAATATTCACTAGCATTTAACATTGGCATGTATCCTTACCCTGCTCGGCCATTATTTGATAAGTGACAACCATCACACTGAACATGAGCTGCCAACGGAAAGCTGTTCGCCGGCAGAGGCTAGAGAGCGGTAACAGCAAAGGGAAACGACCACAAAAAGGTAACAACACAGTCTATATCAACACTGGATGAAGTTATAAACCTACACAGAAGCGGAGAGATGCAGCAAGTGACTCAGAGGAAGGACGAAGCTGTAGAACCTCTTATGTAGGGGGATGAAACACTAGCGACACAGGCAACATGGCAGGTAAGAAAAGATGACATCGTAGAACTTCTTATACAGAGGCGGAGTAGAATGACATTCAGAGTGGGGAGCTCAGACGAGAGCCCCACTGTCACGGTCGGACTCGGCAGCAGTCAGCTCCCAGTACCGCCCTCCCGAGAACACTTGAGTTGCCGACCGGCTCAGCAGAGAGCTAAGGAGGGCGATTACCATACTGGCGACCGGCAATCGACGCCGGCCGACCGGCCAGCCAACGGCGACCAGACGAAATCAGCAGCGTGATCTACCAGCGTTAGGCTAGTAGCGTAACCAAGAATCAGTATAACTGGCGGTCAGTTGAGTGGTAAAGCGGCATAAAAACCAGCGTTAGACAAGTAGCATGACCACGAGATAGCTAAGCAGCTGGCGGCTCTAATAACCCAAGCGTTTCTCCTCGAGAAGACACCACTTGACTCAAAATGGCTTTAGAAGACACCCTCACAGTGATTTGTCATGCAAGAACGCTCGGTTAGATTGAAATCAAAGGAAATCATTACCATATTTCGGGGAAAGACATGCTTGAACGGTAAAATTGGCAGACGCCAGGATTAAACCGTATGGGTCAACGAGAACGCCTGCAATGAAGCATGGGAGAGTGTATGATAGTGAAGGTAGATAGAGGATGTGAAAAGTTGACAGGATTATGAAAGAGAGGAAAACGGAACGCGGAGCGATATGTGCTACACACATCTAAACGATTGTAAATCATAGGACTTACCGATCAAAAAATTGAACGAAATATACCACCTATGTATACCACCAAACTCTAGACAGAATACACATGGGTAAAACAAACGAAATCATCTCACCCTCTCCGAGAAGAGCCACTCCCAGTCCACTCACCACCCAGACCCCCCTACACCAATCCACACCCACCCCATTCCACCTCAAACAAACCCCAGGAACTCACCGCGCCTGCCTCGTATCCACACGGGTTTCGGCAGGGCAGGTCCATGTACCGCTCTGTGTAGCCAGTGTCGTACAGACTCCAGGACACCACGGGCGCTCCGGGCACCGCGAGCTGAGGGGAGGGAGAAACCGGGGGTTAGAGGAGCGGTATAACAAGGGGTGCAGAGGGAGTCAAATGAGGGCAAAAACTCCAAGCATCACCAGCTCATGGATACAGAATGATGAGGCCAGAATAAATGGGGAAGTGTTCAATAAATAACCGTAGTGATCACAGCTAACGTGAGCTGCGATGTCGCACTGTCCTACACACCAACCTGTCAGCTCAGTTCGTTACCAGAATACTGCTGACCGATTTTGTACTCGATACCGTACGGTAAATACACGTCACCGTCATAACGCGGCTGAATTAGACCATTACTCCGCCAGCTGCACCGAAAGTGTCCCAAACCAGCACCTCCCCTCCCCTACGGTCGGTGAGAGCCATCAGACCCCACTCGCCCGTACCTTGAAAACGTCCGGCCGCAGGGCGAGTCCCATCAGGCTGAGGTATCCGCCGTACGACCAGCCCTGGATGGCCACTCGACTCAGGTCAATCATGCCGGTCCGGTCAGCCAGCTGGTGTAGCGCGTCCACCTGATCGGCGATCTCCACCGTGCCCTGCGGGGTGACACGGGGTCACACAGGTGTCAATATACAGGGCTCGCTAGTGTGATGCACATTGCACGTGCTCACTGTGCCTTGGGGGCATAAGGAATCATACAAGGGTCACGTTAGGGATATACAGGGTCACTGAGGGGCCAAGGGAGTCAAAGAAGGGCCAGGGCGTTTGCTATATCCATCGTACACGAAAGGTGACGCGGCGTCACACAGGAGCCGGAGGTTGGACATTTCAACTTTACAGCATTTTGCTGCATACGCATGTCTATGTACTATTGGATTACGAGGTAGCGCATTACGGTCATGCATATTCACCACATAAAACAGCGTAGGTAATGCAAGTTCATCTTGATTAAAGGGTGAAATGGTGATCGTCTAACCACAGTATCGTCCGTAAACAACAATTGTTCACCATTCACCGTCAGCCCCTTCCCCCCACCCCGCTCCCCCTCCCCCTCCAGCCGTGGTCTTACCATCCTGTTCTTGATGTGTCCCTCGAACTTGGTGCCACGGTTGTGGGAGCCTCGCGAGTCAATGCAGACCACACAGTAGCCCTCCGCGGCCAGGATGTGGTTGCGCAGGTAGCGGTATCCCTGCAGGGAAGGGCAGAGGCCACCGGTCAAGGAGGAGGGCAGACAAAGGCAAGATGCAATACTCAGTCGCTACATTACAAGGCAAATGTCAGATGTCAAGATGTCAAATGTCAAATACGTGCTTCCATAAAATTGACCCTAATGATACCATGGTATGAGCCTCAGAAAAAAGGAAGGCGGGTTAAATAATATATATGTACCGAAAGAGGGCGGTTATATTTCTGCTCAGCAATATTTAGAATGTCGAATGAATGTCGAATAAGCGTAGAATACAAACGCACATATTGATATTTGAGGATAATACACCCGTCACGCGGCAAACGCCATAACCTTTCTCAAAGAATCAATTATATGCTTTATAGACCAATCACAATGCAAAATTCGACCTTCCATCCGCGTATTGGTCACTCTCACTATTCAAATCCTACCCTCGATGTCCCCAGCTACACCAAAGACTCAAGTTTACCATCTACTCCCTAACGCATACACGTCGCATTTTCTGGCGAATACCCTCTCAGCCATTCACTCTGAAGGTCCGTCCCTCCTACTCCCTCCCTCTGCCCTTCCCCTCCCCTCCCTCCTTCTCACCTTGAACGTATTGGTGACCACCTGCACCTGGGGTCCTCCGTACACATTCACCACGGTTGGGTACCGCCTGCCCGGTACAAAGCCGGTCGGCGGGTACACCATGGCGAACAGCTGGTCTCCGGAGCCGCGCAGCCGGCAGCTGTGCAGCTGCGGCAGCCAGCGCGGCGGCTCAAACGAGCACGGCTCGAGCACCACGCCGGCCGGCAGCAGCTGCACCTCGCCCGAGTTGGAGGACGAGTGGAGACGCCACACCTGGCAGCTCGGGGGTGTGGAGAGGTTGCTCTGGACGGTCACCAGCGCCGTGCACTCCTGAAGAGAGGGTAGGGAGGGGGTTAGAAGACTGGTTACTCTCTACGGTCACCGCTGCTTACTCTGTGGTTACTCCGTGCACTGCTGGGGAAGGAGAGGGTAAAGAGTGAGGGGAGCAGCTGAAAATTAAAGGGAACTGGCTGTCAGATTGACTGTGAGCGGGTACAGTGAGCCGCTGCACCGTAGGGATATTTCCGATCTAGCCTGTCTTAAGTCCCAGAACCGACTTTTCATTTCAATCATTCTTTCGACTTCATTTAGCGTAAAATTGTCTGAATTTTCACGTTATGTATCTCATTCTACCTAAAATAATATTTTTGAGCACAAAAAATGAGCCCAAAGTCAGGCCTTGCTTACCTAACACGCCGGGTGAAATTGAATGCTAAAAGCTAGTACTCGTTTATGGGGCTGATAACTCGAAAACAATCATTTCCAGCATTATAAATCGCATATGGTCAAAAAACTACATCGTTTCGGATTATGCAGAGGCATTTCAATAACATATTTATCAAATTTTGAGACTCACACCGCCAAGTTTAAAATATGCTGTAAACGGAATTTAGCTCAGCAGTACGATTTGGAAAAACATAGAAAATCAACAACTTTCGACAAAAGTTAACACTTTAATTCTTATACCATTCGATTTGTCGCAGAATTCTGGTTCGGGAACATATTCAAACTTTTGCTACTTTTTGCTCCTCTCGGAGTAAAGCGGTCTATAGTATCGAGAACGGTACTACGGCGGCGCCCGGCTCAGAGCGATGAGGAGCATGCAGGCTACCGCGCGTTTGACCCCTGACCTGATCTTTCATGACGTCACATATTTGACGTCATACCGTTCAGCCAATGAACGACGGCACTTACTCTTGAAATGCATCCTATAGGATTACTCCTCCACCTGATATGACTGAACAACTGAATTTCGTCTGAATGCCAGCCCGACGAATATTGATAAGGGTGATATGCAAAGGTGGATATCAACTGCTCGAAATTGTTAATCGGAAATGACTCATCCATTTTGGCTGGCATATCAGCTATTGATTTATTACCAATACGTGCTTATTTTCTATATTTTAAATTAACGGCATTGCTTATAGCCGTAAGATAACAGTTCATCTTGTTGAAATTTTCTGTCACAGTAAATCGATAACGCGGTTTTGCGACGATCTTTATGCCTGATTTAATGTGCTTACCCTTTCCATCTTTCCATTTTTTTCGTGGCAGACGGTTGTTGAAATATTGATCAGTACTGAATTACTGATATGTTAGCTGCATGACCTAAATGGTCTGGATTAACGACGGTGTGAATCAGGGCCTTGTTTCGCCGGTGATAGCAGCACGCTGCTTTTACACGTGTCAAATTGGGTTTCCATGGAAACATCAACAGGCCCATTGCTCCAACACTACCACAAGTGTGACGTCAGCTCGCGCAATTTGATAGCAGCGTGGTAGCAGCATGCCGTGAAACACCGCCCACGGCGCCCAGGTAGGTATTCAGAACACTCGGAGGATGTGCTCATCTTTACAGCCGTAGAGAGATTACTTGTGATGTTAGCATGGACTGTAATAGTACGTTCTAGGCTTGTTTAAAACTCAAAATGCGTTATATTTCATAGCACTTACTTTTATACAACATTTGAGGGCACTACAAGCCTGCACCCTTCACCCAGGAATAAAGACAGGCTAAATCGGAAAAATCCCCACAGTGCGCTGTTGTGTGCAGAAACGAGAACAAGACATTAGTTTCACCAAAGTTGGCGTGCAGCTCATCATTTTCAGAAAGAATATCAACACAAATGCCTGTTCTAAGCCGCAAACGGCGCTGGGCACAGCGCCACCATAGTCATTTCAAAATTCATGTCGCCATATTCCTGTCTCCCTCCCACCTTCTCCATGTCCAAGGATCCCTCCCACTTCTCCCAGGATCCACGAGCAGCCGCCGGAGGCATTCCTTTCCAACTTACCGAGTCAAGGTAGGCGTTATGGTAGAAGCCCGGCTGGGTGAGCTGCTGGCACTTGCCGCTAGGCTGGAGGAACGATGTCACGTATAGGTGGCGCTCCACAGGTGTGTCACGGCTGCCCTGTGCGTGACAGTGGAAATGGAGTGGTCGGTGATGGCACGGGGTGAGAGACCGGCTACACAGACTACGGCTCTGCGTGTCATGACACAGGGGCGTTTGTGAACTCCGTCTGCAAACGTCAGCCGCGTGGAAGAACTATAAATTTGAGAAAAGGGTCGGTTGTGAGACACCTAGTTCGGGTACGTTAACTTTTTACTCATTTTTAGTTACTTCACATTAACGTTACGTTACGTTAACTTCACATTTCGTTAGCCTTATAGTCGGTACCGGGAACACAACGGTAAAAGAATGTATAAGCCAGGCGATGCTTTATCAAAACAATGCTCCAAAACCGTGCCCAGTCCCACAAACTTGGCGCCCCATCCAGTCCTGACAGCCATTCTCACCTGGAAGAAGACGAGTCCGCGTTTCTCGGAGACCCAGATCTGTTTGCTGTCGAGGTTCCACTGACCGGATGTGAGCGGCACTTTGGTGACGGCCGGGTGCTGGCTGGCAGACCGGCTGCCCGGTTGGCGCGTGATCTACCGGGGCAAAGGGGCAGATTGACGGGTCACGGGAGGTCGGGTCAGAGCAGGGGACAGAGAAAGGTCCACGATTGGACAACCCCTGGCAAACCAGCTGGGGAGGCCAGGTTGGGTTGGATTAGCAAAACAAAAACGATGACAACGGATTTTACGACGTTTAGCTAAATGGGGCTGGGTGATGCTCCCACTGAGATGCACGCCTTGAATGAAGGCTTCTAGAGACGGATCGGAAACTGACAATGTCAGCTGGTACCCTGGTGCAGAAGTACGGTAGCAGCACGTACCTGAGTAGTGACCCGGTACAGGTGCGTGTATCCCGTGGTGTCGTCCATCCATAGGAAGCACACCTGGCCCGGGTCGCTGGTCGGAATCACGTGGAATATGTCGTGCACCTGTGAACGAGATTGAAATGTCTCAGCTGCCGCTATTCCTATATGTAATAATCTTGGCTATTCCCACATACATATTTTGGGTGTCGAAAGAATTCAACGGCATACAAGAGATCATAGCAAAAGCACAGATGTGGATGGGTGTACCATCGTGAAAAATAAGTCATGGTGACTATTCCGCACCGTACGTCTTCAGAAGTACTCTTCCAATGGCATTTATATTCCATAACTTTACGATGACAATGTGGATAACATACATGTCACATGACCAAGGATTGGGAAAGACAGGACCGCAAAGTGGAAATCTCATCAGTCAGCCTTCCGGGTCAGTCAGTGCCTTGCATCCACTGGACACCACAACCCACACAGCCTCTTCCCTCCCTGTCCCACCGTCGTCCACCACCCCTGTAATGTAGGTACATGACCTATAGCAGACTCACGTTAATCCAGACATCAGTCTGTGCCGACAGCAGCACCTGTACGGGCGCGGCCGGCGGCGGCGGCGGTCCGGGAGTGGCGTCATCGGCGACAAACAGCGCCACGGGCACCAGGACCAGGTCCAGGCGACACTGAGAGCGGTCCAACAGCTGGCAGTGTACGCTGGCGGGACGAGGGGAGCGGGTGGTGAGGTGGCTGGTAAGGCGAGGGGATGCTTCTGACGGCAGAGGCTAGTCTAAAATTGGTGGTGTTAGGCATGTATTTGATAAAAATGTGGCGATCCGATGGGGTATCACCCATGAAAGAAGTGTTTAAACACGAACATGTCAAAACAGAAAACCGATGATACGCAACGTTATGACGAATCTAACTCTACAGCTGAAGCGGATGACAGACATTCCCTTCAGATCGGGTCGTTTTATGTCTGTACATAAAACGGACTATTTTCATAGCGACTTCACCTTCAACTAGTCCTCAGTGACCCTCACTCTTCAGTTGTGCATATCAGCTATGACCGTCTAACCAAAGGGAAACTTACATACACTATCAGGAGCATGCATTATCCACCCTACAAATAAAATACACACTATCCCCTTGCAGTGTCACTCACAACTGCTCGTCGAACCATCCGACGCGCACCAGGTACTCCATCCAGGGGAACATGGAGGCCAGCGGTGTGCTGAGGTGGCGCCGCGTCAGGCCCGCCACAGTCTGCGTGGGGCCCTCCAGACGGAACTCGAGCAGCTTCAGAGCAGAGGTGGCGTTCGTTGAGCCCGCCCGTGGGTACCTGGGGTGGAAGGTGAGGGGTCAGTGGTCAATGGTCACCATTCGGTCAATGGTGAGGGGGAATGGTCACTGGTCAGTGGTCAGAGGGCAGTCAGGGAAGACGTGATAGGGGAGCCAGTGTGCGAGTCAGCAGAGTCCGTTCACCGCAAGAGGTGAGCTTTAATATTTGAGCTTAACTAACAAGACATTCTTCGATAAAAGCACAAAATAACATTCATGGCCAAAAAGTAGCTTTGCTGAAATCCTTATCGTGTAGACACGGTGTAAACTAGCTTAATATATGTTGATCTCGTTTCATAAATGGAAATGAGTTTGTAATTCAAGTAAGCGTCTAACCTGATGGCCTCTGGTTCGCTGCCCTCCTGCATAGTGTGCAGATAGAGCACCTCCACATGGGTCTCGTCCACCTCCTCGTACAGAATGCGGTACACGCCGTCTGAGGATACACGCGGCACCGGCAGTGTCCGTCACAATCACAGAATACGTGTTAAGCGCTGTATGATGATAGGGAAGGTAGTGTTCATCTCCAACCACTAGTCAAACATCAACAAACAAAATAAGGCATGTAAATTGCAAAGCCTACAATCGCAATCGAGGGAAATACAACAGATACATTCGGAAATGGAAAGCCACTTGCTATGTGAAATGAAACATGAATGTCGAGGATACTATCTCCAGTGAAAATATAACCTTTAACCATTTGCAACAAAGCCTAGTTTGTTTTCCTGAGCCCGATATTCAGGCCTTATTACAAACATAGCACTTCTATTGAGCCACTCAACAGTCACCCTCCCCCCCCCCCCCGGGAGAAGGTACTAACAAGGAGAACAACACCCCGCATCTCCAGACCATCTCACCTTCGGCGGTGGGCGCCCACCAGAAGCCGACAAAGCGCGAGAACTCCTCCTGCATGACGTACGAGGGAAACCCGGCGCTGAGCGCATCATCCTCCTGGTGGGTGCGGGTCAGACGGACGTCCGACTCTGACGGCATCGGCAACGGTAGGGTTAGATACCGTGGGGCAGGGTGGGGGGCTGATACGGCGGGGTATGAGATAGGGTCACTCTGACAGGCTGGAGCGGCAACGAAGTAATTGTAAGAGTTTAGTGGGAGTTGATTAAGGGCGAGCGTGACAGTCTTACAGACGTTTCAGTAATATAAAGTGCTGATTGGATGTAAATGAAGTTCAAACGTAGGAAACGGGAGGTTATAGTTATTTGAATAGCAAGCAGCTGTTCTCCAGACGATTCGTGATCCTACTCCAGTGCTATATTCTACAACTAGCACATTGAAAACAGGGCCTAAGTGGCTCATAAAACATCAAACTAATGGAAAATCCGTCTAATTGGAGTTCGGACAACATTTCGCAGATCACGACTTTTACACTCCGTCCCTTAGTCTTAATAAAAACTGCCCCGATGCTCCCCATTTCCCCCATAACAACCATCCAGTCCCACACCCCTCAAGCTGCCCCCTCACCTGTGCGCGTGTTGAACAGCCAGATGTCCCCCTCCTCCACATAGGCCAGCAGATCGGGGTTGGCCGGGCAGATGGTAGGGTTGAGACGCGGCTGGCCCCGCGTACTGGGGATCTCCACCGGGTAAACCGCCGAGGCCTGGAACGACGCACAAGGCAGGTGTTAGAGGGGGCGACTGATGCATGCAGATGTGAGGTTTCATATCCAGTTATTAGCCGATGGTTCTACCAGGCTCAAACTGAAATGGTGAATACAATGCTTGCGAGCGCTAATTACTTCGCGTATTTTCCAGCTTAATGCAAAACGCCAGGAGCTGTCAGGCACGGCTAACCATTCAATGAATAGCATCGAACTCAGCTAAAAACAAAACAATGTAACACCAACATTCCCTGCTTTGGTCACAATTAGCTATTATCCCCGGTTCTGTCGCATGTCTACCGTCTACTATGATCACGTGACCACTGACCCTGGCGCTGTCGTCGGTCACGTGGTAGACGCTGTTTCCTGCGGTGAAGATGAAGCGTCCCGACTTCTCGTGGAGGCCGTACTCTGTGATACCGCAGCCGACCACCCTCTTCCTCTCGAGCTGTAGCTGCTCGGCGCGACTGGAGCGGCTACCGTATCGCACACTCTGAACGTGGAACGTGGGGAGGGTGGGGTCAGATGAGGGTTTACGGACGTCTCCCATAGTAGAAGAGTTATGAAGTAGCATGAGTAGGTAGTTGACGTAATTGCGTAGCGGGTTTCATAGACGAACAAGAACTGGATATCAAAAGACCGATCCACAAGCCCATTACATTCAACAAATCGCAACCAATCTAAGCCTATCGATATATAATCCCCTAAGAACTTAAAGCCTGATAAATCGACCAAACCCAGTCTCTGACACAATCCCTGCCTACTACATCCCCTGACACAGTCAGGGGTTCAGTCCAGAATATGATACAATTAGTGGCCCATTCCGGCCTCTGTGACAATCAGCCTCTCACCTGGAAGGTGGGGTCGAACAGCTGCTGCCAGGGCAGCTTGACGTTATCGCTGACGGCCGCCTCCGGCGGCACGTCCACGTAGCACAGCTGGTTCTCCGATCCGGCCCGTGCCGACAGGTAGTACACCCTCAGTCGGCCGTCGGCCAGCGCGCGGAACGAAAAGTGCTGCGGTGTCCGCGACGACAGGGCGCTCAGCGAGCGACGCAGCTGGTGCAGCGTCTGCCGCATCTCGGCCCAAGAGCGCTGGCCGCTCATCGTGGCTACGTTGAAGGAGGGGGGGGGGGGGTAGCCCAGCTCAGAAATGCTGGCCGCTCATCGTGGCTACAATGGAGGAGAGGAAGGGGAGGGTTAGCCCACTTCAGGAATGCTGTCCCCTCATCGTGGATACGTTGAAGGAGGGGGGGGGGGGTAGACCAGCTCAGGAATGCTGTCCTCTCATCGTGGCTATGCTTGAGGGGAGAGGGTTAGTTCAGTCCAAGAATGCTGCCTGTTGATAGTGACAATGCTGGAGAGGAGAGGGGGAAAGAGGGCAAAAGGGGGCATCGTCTCTGCTGGAGAAAGCTGTCTGTTCAGGAAAGAAGTAGGAAAGTGAAGGAAGGTCCTACCTGCTGGTGCATTGTCCAAGAAAATGGTGCACCATTACTGGAAACACAATAGGGTTTTCCAGGGAATTATTGGCCTTTTCTTATGGTTTTCATATCAAAATTGCTGATGCTTGAATTTTGTGTTAAAAATTACATACATCTTCTCAATCTTGTTTTATGAAGCTTCATTCACATTTTTCACCCCAGCTGGTGACACTTTTTGAATGTGTTGGCATGCTTTGCAGTAGCTTACCATTCATGAATGCCAAGATCAGGAAGCATGAGAAATGAAAACATTTAAAATAACAGAAAAACAATGGCAAATGCTTCTGAAAGAGCACAGCTTAACCAGACTTGTTCCCTACTCTCAGGCTGAACATCACCTTACCCAGCAAATACAGAATAAGCCATCCTAGACTTGAAAAGTATGTGAAAGATACTTATGGGTACAGATAAGAAGCCCGTCCTGCGCAGTGCGCATTCCAAATAAAACTTTAAACAAACAACACAATTGCAACCCTAATCTCGAAAATCTGAAGCAGAGCAGAGCCAGCAGAGGCCAGTTTTACCAACAGAAAAATAGGCGCCTACCTGAATTTTTGTTTTTGCCTGAAGACCGCGTCACATACGGAGCATAAACAGTAAGGTAAAGCCATATCTGCTTACGTGTCCATCACGTTCACACTCCATATATGGAGCGGTCTTAAGGCAAAAAAATCAGGCAGGTGGCTATTTTTCTGTTGGTAAAACTGGCCTCAGAACTCCAGCAAGAAACTGAATAAGACAGCACTTCTCAAATCTCACCAATTACCTGCAGCTTCAGATCGTTAACCTCTTAAGATAGCCTTGAAATAGCCTTAAGTGACAGCTCCCACGATATAATTACCTATCAAATTAAGCTAATTACAGCTTATATCGCAGGTAAAAATGAAAGTGAAAACACAGTTCACGAAATGATGCAACCCGAAGCAGCCGAGAAACTGTCGTAAATGCGCCATTTGATGTAGAAATAACAGAAATAAATATCTTGTAATAGTGATTTATTCGCCTTTAAGAATATCAATGACGTCATTAAGAAAAAATCAAAAGCAAAATGGAGTGCAGTATCATTTTGAAATGTTTAACCATTTTATTCTTATTTATCATTACCGGTCGAAGACAAATATAGCAAAAATATCAGAAAAAATGGCTTAATGATTGTTTCTTTCTATTTTCTATGACGTCATTTATCAAAAAAAGCAACTCGATCTCAATTTCTGCAAGCATGCATTTTCTATATCCTTGACGAAGAATAGTGTGTGAGAGATGCTTGGATGCGATGCGCGTGTGTGGACGCGTTTGAGAGTTGTGGGAGGTCGGGCGGCTTTTTTTGTGTTTTTAATTAATTGCTGCTCATAGGGGTCCATCATAATGGCTGCTGTGACCATGCAAAGTTTTGGAACAGTAGAAGTATTTTCGAGTTTGACAGCGTACGACCTTCTCGATGTAGAGCCCGTCGGCGCGCAGTACAAGAAGTTTTGTTTGGCACGTGTGAATTCTCACAGTCTTGGGATCGAAGCTGATTCAGAGGAGCAAGAAGAGGATTCAGCAGTTGAGGTGGTTATCGAGGATGATATTACCTTTCTTCGCACCCTCTGCCCTAAGGAGTGGAAGAAACAAGATCACTACAAGGTTCTTGGTCTTTCAAAGCTGCGGTACAAGGCCACTGAGGATGACATCAAAAAAGCGTACCGTCAGAAGGTGTTGAGGCATCACCCAGACAAGCGTAGGGGTGCAGGGGAAGAGATCAGAGATGAAGATGATTACTTCACTTGCATCACTCGTGCCTATGAAACTCTGGGAGTTCCAGCAAAGAGAATCAGCTATGACTCAGTCGATCCACTTTTTGATGAGGAAATCCCTGATGGCAAAGTCAGTAAAGAGAAGTTTTTCAAGGTGTACCGTCCAGTGTTTGAGCGAAATGCACGCTGGTCCACTCGACGTCCAGTACCAGAGCTTGGAAATTCTAAATCCTCACGAGATGATGTTGAACATTTCTATAGCTTCTGGTATGACTTTGACTCGTGGCGTGAGTTCAGTTACCTGGATGAGGAAGAGAAGGAGAAAGGTGAAAACCGTGATGAGCGTCGCTTCATTGAACGGCAGAACAAGGCGGCCCGGAAGGATAGGAAGAAAGCTGAGACAGCACGCTTGCGGCAACTGGTTGACAATGCCTATGCAGCTGACCCACGGATTCAGAGGTTCAAGGAGGAGGACCGTGATAAGAAGGCTGCTCAGAAACAGCGTAAGCAGGAAGAGCGGCAGCGCCGTCTCGAGGAAGAGGAAAGGGCACTGAAGCTGGCCGAGGAGGAGGCTCAGCGTCGCCGGGAGGCGGAGGAAGCAGCGCGGCGCGAGGAACAGGAAACGGCGCGCCGTCAGAAGGAGGCAGCGCGACAGGCACTCGCTCGCGGCCGGCAAGCACTACGCCAGTTGTGCGCTGAGAAGGACTACTTCGCCGAATCCGACGCCGAGCGTGCCGACCACATGATGGAACTGGAGCGCATGTGTACCGTACTGGACGCACTCAGACTGGACCAACTTAACGAACAGCTCTCCCAACCAACTGGCGGTCGTGAGCGCTTCCTGGAAGAGGTCGACCACGTCAAGAAACAGGTGGAACAAGAGAGAATCTCTGGCGACACGGTGGCCACCAAGACGACTGCCAATGGCGGTAAAGCCAAAACAAAGGCCTGGTCGCACGATGAGCTTCAGATGCTGATAAAGGCCGTCAAACTGTTTCCGGCCGGAACGAATCAGCGGTGGGAGGTGATCGCCAGCTTCATCAACCAGCACGTGTCCGGCTCCAAAAGGACCGCCAAGGAAGTGCTGGCTCATGCCAAAGACTTGCAGAAGTCAGACCAGAAGCTCAAACAGTCTGCCAACCAGAACGCGTATGAGAACTTCGAAAAGAGCACGAAGGCTGCGGGCAAGATCGACGATACTGGAATCTCCGAACGTACCGAGACTCCGCTGGATCAGCAGGGCAGTAACCAAGCGCCCTGGACTCCAGAGGAGCAGAAACGGCTGGAGCAGGCGCTCAAGACGTACGGTCCTCAGACCAAGGACCGTTGGGATCGCATAGCGGAGTGTCTGCCCAATCGCACTAGGAAGGACTGTATGCGGCGCTACAAGGAGCTCGTGGAGCTGATCAAAGCGAAAAAGGCGGCTCAGGCGGCTGTGTCCGACAAAGCGTAGTTGTCCCCGCTACCCATGTTCAACATAGGATGATGATTCGGATCATTGCCCCCTATCCCTGCCAGTGGCAAAGATGAGGCTGATGTACATGCGTTGATTGCCAACTTTGTGTTAGTCATCTGGTTCGGAATGCCGGTGCCTCATTTGCTATTTGTCCTTTGGCTAAGTCCAGAAAAGGTGTCATGAAACGTGATTGTGTACTTCATTCTACTTATGTAGAATTTCTGGTATTATGCATTCAATAATACTTTTGAAGATTTTCGGTTGTGTTTTTCGTGGGGAGCATCCGCGTAACCATCTGCAAAAGGACTTGACACAGCGACACTGTCTATCTAGCTGTCATCAGCTGCTTTCAGACATTCACATATCCTGCTACTATTTCATTCATTGTCAGAAATTAATTCGCAATCTCTGGCATTCAAATTGAGAAATTATGCGCTTTAGTAAGAAGACTGATTGTTAAGACAGATCGTTCAAGATCCACACACCTGGCGATCGCGGCACTGTCGAGTTGGCTGAGAAAGGGATTATTTAACACGTCAACAGCAGGCTGCCTTTCCACGTCTTGATTGAGGTGAATGAAGGGTGGCTAGCACAGGGAAGGGCAGGGGAACGGGGCAGGTCGATGTGTCACCCAAATAAAAAGAAAACTTCAGCGTTCACTGGAAGTTCCTGCCGTACCTGGTGATCGCTGCTGACGCTCATTTCTGGTCTAAGCACTGATGTGAGAATCTGAATTCATGAGAGCGCGCCACCGAACAGCTTTTAGTGCTTGTACATGCACCTACTAATTCGCCTCGTACTCACGAGTACATCGGTGAGAGCCACCAAGGGATGTTTGCACCCTGCATGGATCCGGCTTTCTATGAAGTCACTGACTTATACGAGATGCTTTTAAATCTCCCCCCTCCCCCCATTCATTCCCTGTAATGAATCCTTACCTATTGATTCTCCATTCCAGATGTCGTAAGGCGCAAAGTGAACGCTGAACATGGAAGCTTTTGCGGAGCAAGAAGCTGCTGACGTGCGTACTGAAGGCAACTCAAAGTACTGTATCATCTGCTTGGAAAGCGTTACCGCACCAACTTTAGTTAAGCTTCGCAGTAAAGTGAACGATGCAACTTTGCGTCTGAATGTAGATAATGAATCAGCTGAAAGCAATGAGACTGAAGATCATGACAAAGACATTTTTGAGCCCATTGACGATCGGCTCTATCACTGTAACACGCAGACAGTGAGGGCAGTGCTGCTAGCCATACTACGGCCGCTGCACCGACCCCTGCCTGCAGGGGATGTCCTGTGTCGTCGGTGCTTCTCCCTAGCAGTGAAGGTGGACACTCTCCGGAGGCAGGCCTACACGCTAGAGGCGCGGTTTCTGGCCCGGCTAGACAGTGGCGAGGCTCGTTTGGCGGCACCTGCCTCGGTAGTGAAGCGGCGGCGCGGTCGTCCTTCCTGGGCTCGATCGTCACCGCCGGGAACTCCCCCAGAGAGCCAGAACTACATCTCCGCGGCACCTTCACCTCCCTCCGAGCGGCCCGCGGGCTGCTCCTCTGCTTCCGATAAATCCGTTCTCATTAACATCGAGATCCGCCGGGACGGCGACGATGGGAGCGAAGTTCAGGCGGAATCTGATGAGGACGCCGCCTCTGTTGGCTCCCCTGATCCGGAGGCGCGTGACGATGCCAGTCCTGTGGCCTCCCCTTCCGCACCCGAGCCGCCGCCGCCACTGCCGGACGACCCTCCCCCCACTTACATCCGTGAAGACGAGACCTCGCAGTGTGGCGTATGCGACCTCGTGCTGGAGACCCGCGTCGCCTGTCGGGAACACATGCGCCAACACCTGGCCAAGATGGTGTACTTCTGCCCGCTGTGCCCAGTAGCCATGATGTCACGAAACGCCCTAGAGGCGCACGAGATAGAGCGCCACGCCGACTCCCCGCTGCGGCCGTATGGCTGCGGGCAGTGTGGTGAGACGTTCCCCACACCGCGGTTCCTGAGGCGGCACCAGAATGAGGCGCACGACCGGCGACTGCCGTGCAGCCGCTGCAAGAGGACCTTCCGCCGGAGAGCTGACCTGGAACGGCACCAGGATGTGCACACTGGCGCCCGGCCGTACGTCTGCAACAGGTGGGTGGACGGCGGGCGGTGTTCGGTCGTGCAGGGCGAGGGATGATCAATCGAAAATGGAAGGATGAAGCGCATACCATTGTAGAGGCCCATTGCCGCTAGATAATTTCTGATTATTTAGCTTTGAGTGTTAAGTTTATTGGCAAATCATCAACGGGGTATTCCCCAATCACCGGGTGCTTCACCGGACGTGTTCTCGTATTTTACGCAGTCAGCCACAGTAGCTAGTACAAACCGTACAATCGAATTAATAACCATTCACTTTTCGATATGCGCAGACTAGACGTTTCCCGTGACACCCCGCATGTCCAGAGGCAGTACATTCCAGCCCTTCTATTACTAATAAAAGCCTGCCCGTCTTCCCCAGGTGCATATAACACTGCTCGAATCGTCTCTCTTTCCCCAGGTGCAATAAGAGTTTCACCAGCCAGCCTGTGTGGAAGAAGCACCTGCGAACACACGGCCACCGACCGCGGCCGTACCAGTGCCCCCAGTGTGGCATGTCCTTTCTCTCGGAGCTGCACCTGGCCGTGCACAGCAAGAGCCATCGACGCACGGGGCTGCGCTGTGAACACTGTGAACGCAACTTTACCACTGAGAACCGCCTGAGGAAACATGCCGTGAGTAGAACGGGAAACACGGCGTCAGGAAAGCGGGGATAGATCGTGAGGGTGGGAAGGGTCTAAGCAAGTGTGGGATGGTGCAATAGGGAATGTGTTTCGTGTTCTGTGGTGTCTGCTAGCCAGTCGAATATGGAAATTTGCTTAGCTTCTGTGTAATCGAGCTTCTATCGAGCTATGAGTTGTGAGCTATTTAACGTGCTACGCTTATATGTGACACTGGTTACTTTGTATGTATCGATGACGCCATACTTTCTGCTGTGTTGTAGGAAACTTGTTTGAAGAGGCATAGCTGTGATGTCTGTGGGAAGGAGTTCACCAAAAAAGTGCTGCTGACGCATCACATCCGAACGCACACCGGGGAGAAACCGTTCATCTGCGAGTACTGTGGTGTCGGGTTAGTACGGCCCCACTAAGAGCAGCTAGTTAGAAGAAATTCCTCGTTTGTATATACTTTCCAGGGTCTTATTGGCATATGTGAGAATAAGACTTGTGTAAATCATGTCCTTCATTCGTTCATCCATCCATCCATCAATTCATGCCTGCATTCATTCACTCATTCATTCATTCATTCATTCATTCATTCATTCATTCATTCATTCATGCATTCATTCATTCACTCATGAGTCATGCATTAAAGGGACTATCCCACCTTCTAAAATGTTGTTAAAACCAGCTAAATTGTGCCCGACTTTATAGATTGGATGACCAGGAACACGGTTCTGGCATTTATTTTTCATTAAACATCTTAGGCTTCCCATATTCCAAACACAAACTTTCAAATATGTGACGTCACAGCCCAAAATTACCTCCTTCCCCAGGCCACATTACTGTCATAAAGCTGATTCTTTTTACTCTGTAGGCACCGCAACAAAGTTCAGACCAAGTTTTAAGCGATTTTTCAACGAACAAACCCATTTAAATCAGAATGACTAAACGAGGTGACGTCACACTAACGGTCGCTCCATGTTGAAGATACGGCCTTGTACAAGGCCCATTTTCAAATGAAGGGAACGAATTTCTTCAACACCAAGAGGCCGCGGGGGTTGAAACCTAGATAGATAGTGGTTTCTGAACCTCGCCGCAAACTTGGCTATCTCAACTCAAACCCCCTCCTTAATTCATTCACTCATGCATGCATTCATTCATTCATTCATTCATTCATTCATTCATTCATTCGTTTGTTGATTGCTCATCAAGTATGTTGCCTGTGTCACTACCCCGTGACCAGGTCAATATGTCACTGTCCTGTGACCGGTCAATGTGATATAATGTTCCCGTTATTTATCCGTGACCGATCAACGTGTCGCTGTGACCGCCGACCGGTCAATGTGTCTCTGTCCCCTGACCGGCCAATGTTTGACAGTCAGTTTCTCGCCAGGTTCGCCCAGCGATCTAACCTGACGGCCCACCGGAGTGTCGTTCACCTGCACGAGAAGCCGTTTGTCTGTGACATCTGTGACAAGGCCTTCACTCGGAAACTGCTGCTCACACATCACCAAAGGGCCGCTCACTCAGGTTCGTAGCTATTAAGCGGTCGTCATAATGGTCGTCATTTGTGCAGAGCTGACTGAGAGATTCAAAAGAAGAAGTCATAGTTTTTGTTTGCGTCAGATATGTTCGGCCATTAGGTCCAGCTGTCTGGTAAATGGTGATCCCTTTGCACTTACAAGCGGGATGTCCGCTGTCCCACTGTTAGTACTGTAATTTAGGTTAGATGTCTTATGTGTTGCATCATTCTACCTTGTTTATGTATGCTTGGTAACATTTTTATTCGTTTGGTCAGCTAACTTATATCATAATCTCGAGAACATCAGCATACCAGTCACCTGACGAGCCACTTCTCCCTGCCCCAGTAAACGGCTCTACAGACACATGCCGGCCTCCTGATGACCCACTCCTCCCTGTCCTGGCTAGGGGTGGGATAATAAACACACTTATCACCTAACGAGCCACGAGCCACTTCTCCCTGCCCGGGCGAGCGGTGTCACTTAACCAACCACAAACCAGTCACCTGACGAGCTACTCCCTGCCGCAGGCGAGCGGCCCGCGCGGTGCCCCATCTGCCCGGCGTCGTTCGTCTCGACTCAGCAGCTGCGGGTACATCAGAGGGCGCACCAGACGTCCAAGGAGCGCTCACATCACTGCGGCATGTGTGCGAAGAGCTTCAACTCCGCGCAGCGGTGGAAGGCGCACGTTCTGTCAGCACACTCGTCCAAACGACAATTCCAGTGCCCAGTGAGTTAATGTGGGGCCTTTGGAGCGCCTAGGAGACTGGGCGTTCGACTATTGACAGAGGAGCGGTGCCATGATCATGGTCGCGGTAAAACCCAAACTTATCGTGAAGTGTTTGATACGTTTTGTTTTCCTTCCTCCTATCTTCATCTTTCTCTAATCTGGAGATCCGGATAGGGTAGAAACCCTTGCCCGTAAGCGTAAAAACCGGCAGATCGCGACGAAGCTTGCAGTACTCTTGAATAAATCAATTTTACACCTGCCCTGAAAATTTTATG